ATGTCATACTTATCTTTTCATCACCAATTTCGGGTGCACACCCTAACATCAGCATCAAGGACACCTGGGCAACCATCCCACAGTCTGTGCGCTCTTCCCTACCTGAGGGCCCACTCTCAGTCTCCATGATTATGATTTTCTCTTAAAGAAATGACTTCATTTTTGAAGAGGTAAATATATGCATGTGGTACCAAATTTTAAGAAGAACAGTATACAGCGAAAAGTAAGTCTCCCTTTTATCCTTTTTCCTAAGGTGCCTGGGTCTCTTTCCTGTGATAGCTCTGCAGACACAAGCCTAAATATGCCTAACGATTATTCTGTAACTCAAAAGCATTCCATAGGGTGGAAGTACCATAATTTATTTAACCAGTCTCCAATCGATAAAAATGTAGGTTGTTTCCCATTTTTGGTCCTGCAAACAGTGTTACAAACGTACATCTGCAGTGCTGCACTTGTGTAAGTATGTCTGCAGTCTAAGTGTCTAGATACAGGCTTGCCAGAAAGGATAGAGGGAAGAGTGCCTGTGGGGGCTAACTAGACATCTGTGACCCAGTTGTGATCAGGAAATATTTATACATTAATTTATGGAAATCTGACAATTTACGACCGCTTCCTATCCAAAAGCTTAATGTATCTTTCAACATATTCAATTCTTCTCTTGTGTCTTTCATCTTAAAATTCCTTCATCTAAGACTTATACATTTGTATTTAAATTTACTCCCAACATTTTTCTCCTTTATCGCTGCTACTAAAAATGAGGTCCTTTCTCCATTCTATCTTCCGATTATTGTTGGTATATATAAAGCCTGTGGATTTGGGTCCATTAAGTGTGTAAACTGTGTAGAAGTTTTCCTGCTAATTCTCTTAGGTTTTCTAGCTTACGATAATATCATCTGTAAATATGAAAGTTGTGTCTCCTCCTTTCTTTTTTTTTTTTTTTTTTTTTTTTTTTTTGAGTTGGAGTCTCACTCTGTCGCCCAGACTGGAGTGCAGTGGCCGCTCCCGGCCACCGCAGCCTCGACCTGCTGGGCTCCGGCAATCCTTCCGCCTCAGCCTTCCAAGTAGCCGGAATTACAGGCATGTGCTACCATGCCCGGCTAATTTTTTTATTTATTGTAGAGATGAGGTCTCGCTGCCCAGGCGGGTCTCGAACCCGCGGGCTCAGGCAATCCACTCACCTCAGCCTCCCAAAGGCGCGGGATTACAGGCTGAGCCACCGAGCCCGGCTCCTCCTTTCTTAATTGTTACTCTTCTATATTTTTCTTGCCTAACTGGATTAGCCAGTATCTCCAGTAAACTATTTTCAGTGGTGTTAGTAGATACCCTTGTCTCATCCCTCACTTTTGAGGTAATGTTATTTTCAATTTCTTCAATCAAGAAGTCTGGAATAGACAATGTTATGGTTTTCTGATTTGTTGATATCTGAAAATAAACACATGCACAATTTTAAAGCATGGCTTTATTACAAATGTTTTGTGTGATGTAATTGTACAATTAATCATTGTGTAACATAAAGATCAACTGAATAAGCCTGATACATTTTACTATCACCCACACTTCAAGAGACAAAAAGTAATCAAGGTGCACCATGGCTTGGATATCAGTTTTAATTTAGTGTAACAAAAAGTAAACTTAATGAAGCAATAAATTAAATGACAAAATTCAAAGATTAGGTAAGGTGAGGATATTAAAAATAAAAGTATCGAATTCCATATACAAAAAGGCATTGATCCATGAGTGCACTCTTGCTTTTCTCCACAGCACAGAATGTATAGTACTGCCAACGCTTTCTGAAAAATACCCAATGGAGGGGAATCTTCAAGAAAATCTTCTCAGTGTCAAGTTGTAGTGGTTGTTTCAGGGATGACTGGGGAATGGTTAGTTTAGGAGAGTGGTGGGCTGATAGGTTTGTCGAAGCCTGTGTAAGCCTAGACTTTTCAGTGAGACTTTCCTAGGGGTATGGGAAACCTTGTCTGCCCTAGGCTCAGTGCCTCTGACTCTCCAACCAGAGTCCCTAAAAGGGCCATGCATTCTTAACCAAACAAATACGTTCCATGACTGGAAGTCCCAAAAGGACACTAAAGGAACTTTAGGAAGAGCACTAGTTAAAAACACGCTGCCTGTCTGACTGTGAGGCCCGTTGTCACACCATGTCTTACCAGCTCTGTGCCTTAGGAAAGGGAATTACTCTCCCTAAGACTCAGTTACGTCATCTACAAACACTCACCTCCTAAGATTGATATGGGGATTACAAGACATGATTGTAAAGGACTTAGCGTGGTAAGGGTACCTGGTACTGACCCTTACATGTTTCTGGGGGTGGGGAAACCAGTCTTACTGCAAAGGAAGACAAGTTTCCAATATTTCACACTGATTTGATTTGGGGAAGGATCAATTCAATTTTGAAATTCCAGGAAGTTGGAAGGAACCGAAACTGAGACTGATAGAAAACTCACTCTAACTCAGACTGGGAAAAGAGAAAGGGGTTGCCATTTGAAGGCCCAGCATCCCAGCAAGGTGGGCTGTATAATATATTGCTTACTCTCTCATGTCACGTCACAGTGAAACCAGATTCTAAGTGTCATTTTCATTATGCGCTTCTGCTTGTGATCTCAGCTGTCTTCATAACAACTGAAACGGTTATCATTGTTGTTTTGTGCTAAACTCAAGCCCTAATCTCTCTTGGATATTTTTATGTTGCCCTGACAAAAATTTCCTTATAGTTCCCTATGTGGGTTGTCCTGAGACGGTCTTGTGGCCAGAAGAAACACCCTAGACTTTAGCAGGCTTCCTGGGTGACACTCTAAGACCAAGCAAAGACTAGAGACAAGTTACAGCTTATGGTTAAAGCATTCTTCATCTGCTCCAATACTTAAATTTGTCCAGGTCTCAGCAAGGAAATGAACACACTAATAATTGCACATTTATAGCAATGATCAACTTCCAGAATTTTCAAATATATCATGACCTCATGGAATTATTTCATGATGGAGTCTGAGTAATACAAACCACTTGGGCTAGTGGCTGTTAAGATATCTTTTGTCAGAGCAGGAATTTGTTATTGGCAATATGGTCAGTCCTGACTCGCCACAACTTTTGTTTGACTGGAATTAATTCATGGATTCTAAGTGCCATGTGACTAGTTCATAATTTTCTTTTGACACAATTATAAATAATTCAGGAATTTGGAATATCATTGAAAAACGAAGCCCAGGAGCAAACTAATTATACTTAACATTAAAATATGTAGAGTGTATTTTCAAAAACACTCAAGATAAAACCTTAGGGAACACAATCAGCAAATTCACATTTTAGGCTTTTGCTTTGTTCCCTGGCCCCTGGCCAATTGCTGGCTCAAGCAGGGGCTTCTCCTTGACTGAGGACAGAAGTACTGCACAGCATGGAAGGCTTAGAAAAGCCCCAGATGCCTTCTGGAAACAACAGTGTGCTGCAGCAAATGACAAAAATTGTCTCCTGTCCGTGGATCCTAATGAAGGCAGGAACACCACTATCTTTGGACGTGTGAGAACAGAAGCAGAAAAGGAACGATCACTTGATTACGCTTACCAAACCGTAACAGGTAGTTACTGAGCTCAATATTCTGCAAAAGTTTGCGTCTGGTCTTGAACATACGTATAGAAATGATATAAGTCAGGGTTTAGATGAGGACTTCCCCAGAGATGAATAGGATTTACATTAGGGGGAGAAATGATCCACGATTCATTAAACTTGAGAACTTTGATGTCAGACAAAATCAAAGGGGGTTCTGTATTACACAGACCAATATGCTAAGGTGCACTGTGGCTCTGCAGGCAGACATGTGGCACATATTCACCAAAGGTACTGACCGGAGACAGGACCCCCTTGTCTGTGGAGTATCCCTTGGGATCATCTTCCTCAGTGCACTTTGGGAAATGCTGCCTAAATGAAATCAGACTGTTCTGAAGCTGCCTCAACAGGGGTCCCACCTGGGCCAAAGGATCAGCCCGGCAGGGCCCTAAAGTGCCCTGCCCTAATGAGTGCAATGCTTGCCTTACTGAGTACTGCACTACCCTACTGCGTACTCCACAGCATTACTGAGTACTGCATTGCCTTATTGAGTGCTCAGCACTGTGCTACTGAGTACTACACAGTGTCACTAAGTACTACACTACATTACTGAGTGCTGCACTATGTTACTGAGAACTTCACTACCTTACTGAGTACTGCACTGCCTTACCTAGTACTGCTCTGCCTTACTGAGTACTGCACTGTGTTACTGAGTGCTACACGACTTTATTGAGTACTGCACTGCAATACTGAGTGCTGCACTGTGTTGCTGAGTACTGTACTGTGGTACTGGATACTGCAGTGCTTTACTGAGTGCTACACTACCTGGTACTGAGTGAAACAGGTTCCATAGGAAACCAGGAAAGGCTCAAAAGTTTTACACAGGTTCTCCTGGTCTGTCCGTGCCCTCACGATAAGTGAATTTCCAAATGTCCTGATGAAACAAAGACTCTCAGGGATTTTGCCTATAGATGCAGTCATTGTCAAAAAAGGAAAATCGAAAGGCTGCACATCACAGAATGTCTCCTTGTCCGAATATCTTTTGGAAGTTGCACTTCGTTTTTCTGAGATAATATGAGATCACAAGAGAAGTAAGGTAAAAAGCTGTGAATTCTAGACTCTGGGGTTAATTAGCTCTCTCGGATCGTGTACCTGTATGAAAGTGTGACAAGTAGGGTGACAGCCTTGTGCTTGGTCTCCTTTTTATAGGTTTTTTAATCCAGAAATTTTAGTTGCAGTAGAAAGCAAAATGGTATAGGAAAAAGACATGTTTTTCCCAGAAGAACTAACCCCAATTTCTCTCTAATGGGGGCTGAGATAAAAGGACGTTCAAGTCCTGTGCGGGCCACTCCCACCAACGACGGGGTAAAGAAATCCCTGAGAGACATTTAAGAGGAAATCTAGCGAATTTTCTCCCTGCCCATATACCCATTGGCAGACTGCTCAGCCTCAGCCTCAGCCTCACGAAAATGAACACAGACCCCCTTTCTGCTGGAAGACCTCAAGGCCATGCACCTCCATACCCGATTCAGGCGCACCATCACGCAGGGAAAGGGAACAGCAGCCCTGAGTCCACAGTGGTGACGCGGTGACCCATCTTCCGCCATCCCCTCCCTCCTCAGGCTTGCGCTTCCCGGACACCAGCTGTCACACAGGAAGCTGCAGTCTCTCCCTCTCCCTCCTCCTTCGCTGGCTGTAGCTGCAAGATCATGGCCTGCAGAGTTTCCTTCACCATCTGGAGCTCTCTCTTGAGAGACTGTGGGCAGGTTGTTAAGGAACACATCTGAAGGTGATGGCGGCCCTCGGCGGCCTCTGAGGGATCTAATAAGAGCAAGCCAGCCTGTTGGAAGCAGATGGCCACTGTCGTCTAATTGCAGTTTCAAATTCTTCCAAATTGTAGGGATTAAAGATTAATACAAATCTTACACTTCTTTTAAGAATGACAGCAGTTTCTATGAGGCCTGTGGTATTAACTCTCTCAAGTAAGGTCTCGAAAAGGACAAGGAAGAGTCAGCTCTCAGATGAGACAGATGGCCACCTTAGATGCTCAATGATATATGGTTCGTGTGACTGTGATTCCTACTAAGCCCCAAGCTGGGGCGCAGCCACCATCAGATGCAAGTCCTCTGACAGCGGAAAGAGCAGAATGCTTGAAATCAAAACCTCCTCGAGAAATCCAGGATTTGGGTCCACTATAAGTCTGGAGAGGCATGTGGAACCAGGCTCGGAGTCACGAATTATGCTCCCTGATCACCATTCACCAACCTTGTCACTTTGTGCAAAACACTTTGACCCTCAGTTTTCTCATGAAACAATGACTTAACGCCCTCCCTCCTTGCCCCCCCCACCCCCAGGCTCTAACCTGCTATCATCTGTTAGTATATTTCTAGGTACTAAGCAGGCTACAAGATTTGAAGAAGCGCAGAGAGTTTGCCTTTTTGAGTTGGTTGGTTGGATTTTCCTAAGAACTATTGGGTTCTTAGTTTTCTAACCTGTGAAGTTATTTCTCACACAGAAAATATAATCTCAAGCCAGGCACAGTGGTTCATGCCTGTAATCCCAGCACTTTGGGAGGCAGAGGCAAGAGGACTGCCTGAGCCGGGGGGTTAGAGACCAGCTTGGACAACTTGGCAAGACCTCGTCTCTACAAAAAAAAACAAAAAAAAGTAGCCAGGAATGGTGGCACACGCCTGGGGTTCCAGCTACTTGGAAGACTGAGGCAGAAGGATTGCCTAAGACCAGCAGCTCGAGGCTGCAGTGGATGTGAGCATGCCAGTGCACTCCAGCCTGGGTGACAGAGTGAGACTCCAATTCAAAAACACAAAGAAAGAAAGAGAGAAAATACAATCTCAGAGAACGTAGAAAATGGTAATATGGAATAGATAAGGCTGTCATTCTCTGAACACATGGGCTGTCTACCAGGTGCTCACACAGGGGAATGTTTAACCAACAATGATTTTTCTGTCCATACACCACCAGATCCCTCTTCCCTTTCCCTTTGTACCTGCAGTCAGAACATACCAAGGGTAAATACAAAGTGAGAGAGAGGCTTAGCAAGCTTACATGTTCAACCTCATCTAATAGGGACCCAGGGGGAAAGCAGGAATAGGTGGACAGCACTTAAATAAGGTGAAGTGTGCCAGACCACTCCAATATTACTAGATTAGAGAGGGAGGGGCAAAGAGCCCTGGGAAAGGGTACGTGCAGAGATCTGACTGCTCATAGACCACCTATGCTACAATGTTGTTTTCCCAACATTCAATGCCAATACAATGTCAAGAGAGACACTCTTAGGTGATGACTGTGGAAAGCGTTCCCTTTCTTTTTTGGACAAGGAACTCCAGAAGGCTCTGGGAATTATGCAAATGAGCCTCTCCGTCACAGAAATGCTGACCCACCCCAAAAAGTTTTGGCAGTTTTTCACCCTCTTGAAGTTTCACCAGACACCATCATTTGTGTGATGTATATACATTTACTGTGATGGTTCCCTCCTTGCACATGAACTTGAAGAAAATGAAGACTGTGTGGAGGGGATGTAAGGGAGGAGAGAACCCAATATTTGCCTCTTTTTAACTTTTTTCAGAGGCTTAGTTTGCCTCTATTTCTTTGGATAGCTCTGCTAATCTTCAGTGAAAACACATATGACTTTATACAAGCAAAAGCATAAGTGGTCCCAAACCGAATACCAAGCAGGAATTTAATCACAAAGTTATGCTACATTTATAAAGAGCAAGCATAGAGCTTAAGCAGTTTATGAATCCTGACAAACTCCTGAGATTTAATTACCTTTGATATGCAGCCTGGGACTACATGCTGCTATTTGTAACGTGCTAAATGATGACAAAGATTTTTAGAGAGACAAACTGAACCGAAATGTGATCTTCTTAAAAAACTCATAAAACTGGCAGAACAAACTGAAATGTTAAAAAATATAATAAAAAGAGTGGATAGAAAGTACAAAAGGGAGAGATGAAGTTATACAACTAACACATCAGCCCCTCCTATAACAATATCTACTAACTCACAGAGGAGTCAGGAAACCCAGATTTGGAGATACAACTCCCCAGCTATGGAAAGCTAAGCAAATCATTCAATGCCTAATTGTCCCACTTGTAAAATATAGAATCTCATACCTTCTTTACAGCTTAGGGTTCAAAGAAATATTTTTTCTTGTGAGCACATAATGTCTTTTGTGAGGCACCATGAGACTTCAGGTTTATTTCCCTAATATAGCAGATGTAACGAGCACCTTAGGCTGTAAGCAGGGCTAGGCATCAGAAATCCTGCAAACTTCATTTAATGAGCCTACGGAGCAATAATCCTGGATAATTAAAATCATGTTTTTATTTATGAAATACTTCTCTCTCACCAAACTGCCTGCATAACCCTTATAAAATATGACTTCCAAAACATTTTGAGTGTACTGAAACAGAAGACTGACCAGGACAAATTGCAGAGTCGGGGGGAAAAGTAAACTGCAGAACAATTTGTATGGCATGATCCTGATTTTGCAAACAAAAACTACAGAGACATGTTTTAGAAGGATATAGCAGTGACCCAGAGGTAGTGGCACCTGGAGGGAAACACAATTTTAAAAATTTTCCATACTTCTGTGATATCACAAGAGACATACATTATATTCGTATTTAAATCCATATGTTTGCAAAAGAAACCACTTGAAACATTTCCCCACTAAGCAACAGGGAGAAATGAAAGTGCAGATAGAGATCCTCCTTCTTTAGTTTACTCATGCAACTATGCAAACATTTCTTGAACTCCTACTGTGTGTTAAGAAAGTCATGGACTCAGCAGTATAGGAGGGAACCAAAGTCACTGCCATCGTGGAGTTTAAATGCCTGTGAGTGCAGCCAAAAAACACACGCAGACATGTAGATAGAGTGTCCGGCAGTGATAAGTGTTTGAAGTGAGATGGGAGCTGTGGGAAAACCCAGAGCAGAGGAGTGACATCATCACTCTGGCTACTGTGCTGAGAGTGGATTAAAGCGGCCAGGGGCAGAAGCCCAGAAAGACCAGGTAGGAGTCTACTGCCATCACTCAGCAGGAAACGATCACAGCTTGGACAGGGTGAGGTGAGAGAGAGGCGGCCAGAATCTGGATGTGTTCTGAAGACACAGCCAACAACATGTGGTTGTAGACTGGATATGAGATACGAAGGATGGGAAAGGCGTCAAGAATGACTCCTTGATTTTTTTTATCAAAGCAAGTAACTGAAAAGAATATACCTGCAGTTTATTGAGAAGAAGACTAGGAATGTGTGATCTGTTTCTGTTTGGGAAGGGGATGGGGTCTTGGACATGGTAAACAGGAGAAGCTAGTCACCAAGAGGAGATGCCGAGTAGGAGATTGGCTTGAGTCTGAAGTTCACATTGTACCATGTATTTCAAAAATACATTTTTACAACATTTTCTCACTGACCTACAGAAAAAATAATAAACGATCGCATCTGATACATCTAACCACGGTCTTAAGGCTAAGTAGGAAAGCAGAGCTAGAATCAGATATTCTGATGGCTAATCTAATAAGCTCATGGTTAAAGCCCGTTGACTCTTTGACCTTGATTTTTGTCACAAGGCTGAATAACGAAAAATTCCAGGACTGGAGTAAGAGAGAAACCACAAAAAAGAGAGACGAAGTTAAAGAATAGAGTTGCTTACTATGTCTAAGAGGTGCAAGAATAGGACTCAAAGGAGCTCAATAATTCTTATGATGTCTGTGTCTCAGGGACCTGAGTAGCTAAATATTTGTCCCCCATAACAGATACGCTTCCAGGTATCTGTGGTATCTAAGAAAATCAGTAGATTCATTATAATAATGTCATATTCTAGCATCTTTAAAACATCTTTGGAACCCAAGACCATTCTTTACCTCCTTGAGATAGACTACCCACGTATTAGGCAAGTGCATAACTTGTTAAAATGTCTATGTTTGCAATTAGTAAAGAAGTGAGACAGAAAAACACACGCATCCTGAAATATAGTGGCAAGGCAATATCGTCATTCAGGGCAGTCCTTTGCAAAAGATGCTGCAAATCTTTCAATGGGGTCTTTTTCTTTTAAAAACAATTGAGTGTTTTACTGTCAATGAAGTTTCCAAGTGATTATTTTTGATGGCTTAGACAAAAGCAGGTCTTTAGTTCATCTGACCTCATTTGATTCAAAAAGAAACAATAGTACAGGTTGAATATCCCAAATCTGAAAATCTGAAGTCCGAAATGCTTCAAAATCTGAAACTTTTTCAACACCAACATGACATTCAAAATAAATACTCATTGGAGCATTTGAATTTTGAATTTCTGATTCTGAATGCTCCATTGATAAACATAATGCAAACATTCCACAATCGGAAAAAATCCAAAATCCAAAACACTTCTGTACCAAGCATTTCAGACAAGGGATACTCAACCTGTACATGCTTTGGAACCTCACTGCATTATCTCTTCTTACCAACATTCTCCTCTGCAGCCACCACAGCCTATATACTGGAGAATTTACCTTCATGAAAATCCAAAAGCAAGGTTCACAGTCACTTAAGAGCAAAGACAACTTGCCTACACCCAAGGCCTGATTGGAAAGATTTGATGCTTGCATGGGGGAACCTTCTGTGTTGCCTGTGTCATGCCAAGACCATGCTGTGCTAAGCCAGTGTCTACACCTTCACCTCCCACCATGGGGGTCCAGCTCTTCCTCTTCCCATCCCAAAGCCTAACAGAGCCAAAGGGAAGAGCCATGGCCAACATATCAGTGTCAGTCCAGCATACTCAATTCTTTAAACACAACCTCTTAGGCTCTCAATTTTCTTATCCATAAACTACATCAGTGGAGCTCCATGATCCTCATGGTCCTTCTTCCAGTTCCTCAGTTACAAAAGTGGAAAATATGTCCAAGGAGGCAGAGCAATCTCCCAAAACTCTTGCTGCCTTTGTCTGCTCAAGCTACAAACTTGAAAACCGAACCCAGCAAGAGTCTTCATGAAGCTGTAGGGTTGGGGCATGAGCCTGAATGTATTTAGAATATTTGCATGCCATCAAGCACACCAAAACTAATCAATTGGGCGCCAAGCATTTCAAATAAGCAGAGAGAACAGAATTCCACAAGGGCTTCCGGGACATGGATGAAAATACAACCACAAACAGAATCAGTCTGTCTCCATCTCATCTATGACTCAGAGGCAGGCAGGACTGCCCTGGGGGCTTTAGAATATGCCAAAAATGCGTAAATCCCAGGTGCATGTCTTTTCCCTTGAAAATGTGTTGTTGATGCTGAAGGAGGAAAAAAGGAGAAAATCTTTGCTTAAAAATCCACCTAACCCAGAAGGTTTTGGCGACAGCATTTTGAACACGGAGGAGGCATTACACACATTCAAAATGTTTTTCAAAACATAACTGCTCATTAGGTCCCAAAATGACTGTGAAATTGTACTACAGCTTCATAATAATGCTCCTGGAAATCTTGGTTTGACTGGCTGTGAAGTCACACCTCCTGTCCTCTCCCCAGATGCCACGCCTGAGCCACCTCTCTGCCTCCAGCTTTCCCAATTAACGGTGCAGACTGTTTTCAGATACTCACCGCTGCAGTAGCTGACAGATTTGTGTTGTTATTTGGTCATGCTACATGTAATTTAGAGAGCCTGTCAGGATGATGAAGAGACATGGGCTGTTCTCTCCCGCTCCACGGATTTGACAACCCAGTGTCTTCTTGGTAAAAGTAGGAGGCGCCCAGCAAGCCACCCGTAACTCAGACATTAAGTCTGGATGCCACGAGGACCTGTTTGGACGCTCAGTTCCACAACCTATCACTAGCCTGTGCTGATGTCACACTAACAGTGCTGATGTATGCCCTGGCTTATGTAAAAAGCTCAGTGCCCTCCTCACGAAGAACAAGCATCCATCATATCATCCGGGCTTGAACATTCCAGACACAGATGTCCATTGTGGACCTATGCTAATTGCGTCCCAATGTAGGCTCCAAGGTAGCCTCTACCTCGAAAGCACAGTAGGCTCTGGCAGGCATGTTTAATGGCATCAAACGAAATATTGCACTCACTGTGCAATTCTTCCGTACTGTTGACAGCAAGCTGTTTCTTTTAACCATACTCAGCATTGTTATCTTTGATCCAAAATGAAACACAAACCAGTCAGAGTTGGCTGGAGGATTCTGGCAGCCTCTTTGAATCTCTAGATAAGTTCTAATTTGAAAAAACACTTTTGTTTGTGTAGGAGAACCTTTGCAGAGCCTTGTAAACATGTCTTTCTATCTTAGGGCATAATGTTCCACTCAAATCTAAGTGCTGCTTTGTATGAGTTCAAAGATACCTTCTGTGTATTTATTCCCAATCAGTGATGCAGAACAAAGCCTGGGCTTCAGAGGAAAGCCTGGGTTGAAATCCATATTGCGGTGTAGATTTTATGAGAGGGAGGAAGGGAGTGGACCTCAGTACCTAAACCCATGTTTCCCTGGTTTGATGTTTTCTCAGCATGTCTCCACTTATTGCAGCAAGGATCAGCAGAATTCTCAGAAAATGTAACTTCAACACAATACTTTTACTATAGCTTAAAATTTTAAAGTAATGGTCTGTTCCACCAAACAGACCTGTCCATATACTTATAGGCAAGGCCACCTCCTGAGGGGCCACGTAGGACAACAGGGCTTGTGGCTAGAAGGTTCTGCCACTTATTAGATGTGACTTTGGACTAGTCAAGTAATTCCTAAGCCTCAGTTTTCTCAACTGTCGAGTAAGAACAATAATCTCTATCTATTTATAGAAGCTTCATTAGAATTGCTGTACAAATTCATGACCAGCCTGGGCAACTTGACGAGACCTCAATACTATAATAAATCAAAAAAGTAGGCACACGTGGTAGCACGTGCCCGTAGTTCTGGCTACTTTGAAGGCTGAAATGAAAGGATCACCAGAGCCCAGCAGGTCAGTGCTGGGGTGGCCATGAGCACTCCAGCCTGGGTGACGGAGTGCGACTCCAACTCAAAAAAAAAAAAAAAAAGAATTACTGTACATTATTCTTCATATAAGCCATTTTGGGATTGCTGATTGATTCCTTCAAGCATTTATTATAAAATATTGAATCAACCTACCTGGAAACCTCTTAGGTTCAAGTAAGATGTTGTTTGAGCTTGTGACAAAGATATTGAGAACTGTGAGACAAACGAACTTGGGAAACATATTCTTCTACTGAAAACCAAGCACTAACTATGTGAACTGCGTGATGAAGCTAAGTAAATGCTGTGAATGTAGGCTCATTTTACCCCATAAAAACCTCAGAGGTGTGTGTTATTATCCTGACGTTCCAGATGAGGACCCTAATGCTTAAAGAGGCTTCATCACTTGTCCGTGATCCCGCCACCACTGGATCTGGTTTGCATCAGCTGTGGAAAAACTAAAAGGGTCTTGTTTAAACACTGCTTGATTACTCTCTTCTCAGCCTCCTTCCCTGCCTCTCCACCCAATAAGAAGACCCAATTCCCTAGAATCCAACTAACCTTTTTATAAAATTTCACACAAGAAAATACCACAGACCCTGACTGCAGATCTCAGAACTGCTACCCGACCCCACAAAGCCCGAGGTACATGCTACCAGAAGCTGCCCCCTTGCTGGCTGGGCCAGGACTTCTTGGCTCTCCATGAGTTGCTTGTTTATGCTTTGTCACTGGTTCATGTGCTGGAGACCATGTCCCCTTAGATGTGTCCAAGCTGTGTGGCTCCATGAACACAGAATAACCAAAAATGCCATCTTTCTACTCAGTGAAACTTTCTAATAATAGCTTAAATACTAGTCCTGTTAAAAGTAGGAAATTATGAAGAACATAATTTTTAAAAATCTTTTAAAAATCTTTTAAAAATCTTCCTTGAGCAATATGAAAATTATTGCTGACAAAGTTAAAGAAGTTCCTTGCTTAGTTTAATATGCAAGGTCAGAGATTTAAAGTTATAACAAGGAAGAAAACATAGCGTCGAATCCATCATTAAAGTGTAGACCTGAATACAGTTCAGATCTGAATGTGATTAAGATTAAGCCTTGACCATTCAAAACTACTTACACACACACACACACACACACACACACACACACACACACACACACACACACACACATACACATAAAGCATGGCAAGAAATGGAATTCTAAAAGGTAAGATGCAGTGGGAAGCAAAGACCAAAACAGATCCCTTTCCCACAAACACATCTAATAAAAGTCATACTACTGAATAGAAAGAATGAACGAACAGGAAAGTGTTGTTAGCTCAAGGGTCAACTTGTGATTAAATAACTAAAAAGAAAGAGGATAAGCTGCACATCTCTTCATCCATCTGTGTACCCCTCCATTTGCTCTGAACAGAACTAATCAGAGCATTCACAGATCAACATAGGTTAGGGTGCTTCATACAGACACACATCTAAGCCATCATGTCAGCATGCTGCCATGCCCAATGGCAGCTAGTTCTGATGAAGGTGTTTGTAGGTGCAACTCTGAGGGTATTGAGTTTGGTGCAAGAAAATCCTATTGTTAGGACTCAGAAAGGACTAGATTAAGTTCAACCTTGTGTACATGGTTAGATATTCAAAAGCAATATCCAAAGTCCTGTTTGTTTTGATACTCTACTGTCCATGACTAGGAAGAATTGTTTAATAAAGAAATTTGAAGATGGGTTTAAAAAAAACCCTAGAAAACGGAGACAGTCAAATGTTTTCTTTCGCCAGGGTCACACGGAACTAGCTTTACACCCACTGAAAACTGCATTTTGCGTTGACCTCATTGTATGCATGTCTGAAATTCAAGGCTTATTTTTGGCAGTTGGGTTTAATAATCAAAATACTGAATTGCTTCCCAAAATCTAGAGAGAAAACATTGCGTACTTGATCATCTCAGAGATCTGAGGTGTGGTGCACTATAAATAACAGAAGCATCTACTTGTTTCCATCTGCCAAGGCATGGAAAAACTGTATTTTTAAAAGACTCTGTTTTACAAAATAACCTCACAGGTGCTTAATCTGCAAGATGAAAAGGATATGAATGAGATCTTCATCATGATTATGGATTGCCATGTGAAGTTGATCTTCCAAGTACAATAACCTCTGGCCTATGGCTTCACATTTTTCTCCAAGTTCTGCAGAGAGGATGTAAGATTCCTGGCCGGAGACAAAAAGGAAAAAGATCATTTGTAAGCTATAGATGTTTTCAGGGCCATAAACGCAGACAGTACACAAAGGAAAGATTTCCTGGAAAAGTTCTTCCAGCTTCTGCACCTAATTTGGAATCATGTCAGAGCTTTGGCCATCCCTGGAGATTATTCTTGAGAAGACTTGAACTGATTTCAAGATAGTCATTATTCAAATGATAAGCTGAGTCTACACGGCTCCGCAGGTTACCTCCCTTATCTGGTCATTCCAAAGGGCTGCTTCCAGAACACCAACTTCCAAAGTGGATTTGTCAAAGGGGAAACCCTGAATCTTCCAGCTGCACCCATGGAAAGACCCACAATTTAATAGGAATTCTAAGAAAAGAAGGGCGATCACAGTGGCAACCGGGCTGACCTGTAAGAAAAAAAGGATATTCCTTTAAGGGCACAGGAAACTAACCTGGCATTAACATTCGATTACTTGCTGGCCACAGTTCCTGAAAGCTAGAATATTAGGAAGACTTTAAATGCCATGAGGTGTTTATTGTATAAACAGCTGCTGTCATACACAGGCACGTAAACCTTGTAAAAGCAGAAAGATGATATCTTGCTAGCTCCTGGGTCCATAGCTCTTGACATAGTATCTGGCACGTGGAATTGCCTGGTTTGATGAACAGTTGAGTCTTGGAACCGTCTTCTCCTCTAACGTTTCCCCCTCAAGTGTGTGCCCCACACCTGAGCCAAAAAAGTTCCCTCTTGGCGTGACTTTGCTGCACAAAACCACCACAGAGCAGAGTCCATACTCTGCCCTTGTATGACCTGGCCCGAGACTCACAGTTGAGCTGAATCCACTTTCCTCTCCTAAATGCACCCTGACCTTTGCCAGCTGGGCTAACACCATCACCTTCCCTCACACAGCTCTTCCTGCCCACAAACCTCCTTCATTGTCCTCTGAGACCCAGATTTTCCTTCACAGCCCCCAAATAATAATTCCACCTTGTAGATCTATGTACTCTGTCCTCTCAAGGAAAAGGACCTCTGTCCTGTCAACTCCCTGGGGGCAAGGACCAGGGCTTACTCTTTCATCTTGGGGTCCCAAGTCGAATGCCAGCCACATAGAAAGTCACAGATTAGTAGAAGAAAAGAATAAACAAGGTCGAGAAAATGAATGAGGACAGAAAAAGGGAATCTTAGAATAAAAGGGAGAAAAAGCAAGAAACGAGCTCAGAATTAAAAGTCAAGCAAACATAAAGGTCATATTTTCCCAACTAATAGTGAAAAACTTTGCAGCTATACTAAAAATAATTTTGCATATGGGAAAGAATAAGTGTTTAGATTACACTGGAGGGCTACTATGAACGCTGTAATTAATAAGCAACAATAACAACAAAATGTCCTGGTATGGTACTATTTACTGTTAAAAAGTCCTTGGAGATCATGCATTATATAATATTACAATCAAGCCTATGGATAACAATTAAATACAAGTATGCTTTTTGACATTTGATATATTAGCTCCAGAACACTTTGAAGTGTGTATCCCAAGTGGGCAATGATATTAGAATAAAACAATGCTAATGGACACTATCAATAACTAGTATAAATATTGAAGGAGTCTAGTGTAGGACAAGTGAATGTATATATATTTGTGTGTGTATATAGATATATGTATATGTGTGTGTGTGTGTGCATAGATAATCACGTATAATTTGGAGAACATACAGACAAAATTAAGTGAACGTTAATGTGAAGCACCCAAAAAGGTTTGCTCAAAATTGACCATGGCTGTAATGAGGAGACAGCAAATATATAAAAATCACAGATATATACATTTTACTGATCATAAAAGTAATAACACTATCATTCAAAGATGTGTAATTAAGGGTGGACAGATTATATACAAGTGTAGACAATGGACAATGAGTAATTCCACAGTCACACATGAAATAAGTTAGACACTAAGAAAAAGAACATCTGGAGCGAAATGATTGACAGTTGTGAAACCACAAGTCACACACAAAAGAGAAAAGCACAGTGTTAGCGGAAAAATATATATGACAGAACACACTTAAAGAGAGAAAAAGCATAGACTCAGAACAGGAAACCTAGGAATTTAAGATACTCTTAAACAAAATCAAATGACTCAATCTTCATCTTAAAACTACAGCAAATATGAAATCAAAGCTGAACAAAATAAATTTAAAATATAGCTTTACATTTCCCCCCAAATATATAATCCTTGCCTGTTTTCCTTTTTAAATTATGTGCAGATTGACAGCGATAGTGTAAATTTTAGAAAGCAATTTCAGACCATGTAACAAGCACTTTAAATTGCTCATATTCTATGACCTAACAATTTTGCTTCCTGGAATCTATCAAAAAATTATCTATTAAAATTGAAATAATTTTTATGAAGTCCTTGCAGTAAGCACAGAAAAAGGCCTATCATATATATATATATATATATATATATATATCAAATAGAAACATAATATCTTAATCATGCAAAGATAGTGGCATTAAAAGTATGAGAAAGAGAAAAGAACTGCCTCGCAATAAAGGGAATGGTTAAAACGAATTCTGGAACATTAGATTTGTGTTAAAACATTAGAAATCATTTTTCATGCAAGACCCTCGTGATGAGAAAATACTCAAATAAGCAAAGCACTAAAATATTTACAATTATTATTTTGAGGAGCAGTATTATTGAATATTTTTCTTTTCTTCTTTGTATCTCCTGAATTTTCCACATCTCTAAAATATAATATGAAAAAAATTATGAAAAACACTAATTCAAACCATAATGAGAAAGTAATCTTTAGTTTTTTTAAAGATTGAAAAAACACAAAGTGGCATAAGGAAACAAACTCAGAGAGCTCAAGGACCTAGTCTAGTAACAGAAGTTCCAACTAGCATCTTCTTGCAGGGCTACTTTTCCAAGGCACAAGTTACAAAATCTCTTTCTGACTCCAGCACAAACCACTATGTGTTGGCCTGACACTCTGATCCTGAACTGAGCGAATACTGAATATGACCCAAGTGAGTGTTATTTGAGGGATTTATTGCTATAATACTCTCACTTGGAATCTCAGGAACAGAATTAGTTTAGACCTAAATTGAGAATTGACAGCTGATGAGATGGCAGATTTACATATTTCTATCAATTTGATGAAAAATTCTGTTCTGTCCAAAGGAATCCTATCTATCCAGATGAACAGAACAGAATCAGAGCCATGGGTATCCACTATAAAAGGCTGCCCTGGTCCTGCCTGTTAGCCCTTAAAGCAGGTGGTGGGCAGAGCTCCCTTGTCCATTTCCACCCTGTGCCTGGGTATGACAGAGTGCACGTGTGGCCACAGCAACACATTCTTCCAGAACATTGCCTCTCTACTGTCAGGAGACAGAGTTTATTATTTCTTCCTTGAAGCTGGATGGCCCTTGAGGTTTCTTCAAGAAGCAGAACACAGCTAAGGGGACACTGCCCGACTTACAAAGCCAGGTCATCAAAGGTGACGTGTCTTCTCAGATCACTCGCCCTGGAACCCAGCCTCCACACGTGAGGAAGCCCAAGCCATATGGATAGGCTGTGCGGGTAGATGTTTGAGAGCTCCAGTTAAAGTCCCAGTCAACAGCCAGACAGGGGAGGGACTGAACCATCAGATGATCCCAATCTCCGTCTTCAAGTCATCCAGCTATACCCGGACATTGTGGTGCAGGGAGAGCTCCCCCACTGGGCCCCATTCCAACTCCTGACCTACAGATCCGTGAATATCATACATGGTTATTTTAAATCACTAAATTTGATTTGTTATGTAGCAACACTAGCTAGAACAGTGAGCTACCCAGGATATTCTCGACACAGACCATGTACGGTCAGGACTGTTGCGAAATGATACCAGGAAGTGCATACTCATGGGTCCCTACTCAAGGAGTGATTACAATGACTGACTAGACCTTTGAAGCTTATTGAAATATTAATGCCCAGGCTTGTTTCAGGGAGAGGAGCTCCCAGCCATGTTGAAAACTATGGCCATGAATCTGGGAAGTACAAAACAGACGTTTCTCTGAGTGGCCACCGCTGCTGGTTAGTGGTCCCCAGATCTCTGTCACCTGGCTCAGTGTGCAAGCAATACAACAATGAAGGCATATATTTTGAGGTGGGGGGTGTGTGCACATGTGCAAACCATGTATAGTCAAAATTTCCTAGAAAACTCCTCAGGAAGACATCCGACAGTGTCTGCCTGCAATAAGACCCAAAGGGCCTCACCTTCTTCCAGCTGTGGGAGAAATGGCTCTTTCTTTAGTGAACACTCAGCACAGCAAGGTGCTCACAGTGGAGAGGGAGAAAGGTAAGAGATAAACAGATTTCTTTCTCCTGGATTCTCACACTGGCCTTGAGGCCCACCCACTGCCTAGAGTGGAGAACAAAATTGCTCCCCTACTTAAAATGGTCATGTCTTCCTGGTACGTGAGCATTTATAAGTTAGAGCCACACAGGACAGCACAGTGCAGGAAGCATCAAGCATGGTGCACTGCCTCTGGTTTCTCCCTTGCTTTGAGAGCACCTTGCTCAAATAGGTTCTCTCAAGCTAGTGGGCTTTAGGCTTTACCCTGCAGAGATCCCTGGTAGGAGGATAAAGCTCTTTACTGTTAGTCCTACCCCAGTTTCTAATTGTATTTGTTTTATCTGCTAAGATTTCCTAGAAAGTTAAAAACAAATGAAGGGATTTTGTTTGTTTTGAAATAAAAGAAACTTCCTTTCAAAGGAGTTGAACTTCAATAAAACTTTGGAAGCCTGGATGTTTCTGGCTAAGCCAAAATAGTGAACAGGAAGTCAGGTGTGTTGCACAGGAAGCCCCGTCTTGGGTTATAATTGCTGGAGAAAGGGGGCTTCCTAATAACAACCTCCATCTTGTTTCCCAGGACAGCAAACGCAAACATTTACAAAGGGCCGCCTCAGGCAGGGGTGCTAAGAACACCATGAGTCTTCCCTCAGGGTCTTAATTCCTG